GGTAATTAATTGTTGCTCCAAACCTCGGAGGCATACAACTTTTTGACCCTTGCTAATAATTTTGAATTAGAGCAAATTGAAAATTGAAATTCCTCTTTGCCTCTCCGCGAATAACGCACAAACTCTGCCACTTTTACCAGCATTATTAACTATCGATTTATTAAATTTTAACGTAAAAAAGTCAGTTCGTTTATTTTCTCTTTTAGGCGTACAAAACAGCAAAAATAGTAAGAGTAAAAAATTATTATTATTGTTGTTATTGTTATTATTATTTTCAAACGTAATGATGACCAATCCCGGTAGAATCTTGCACGAACAGCGCGTCGAACATCTACAGGGCTCGCATCTTGAGTTGGTCCAATGAATTGGACTATGTTGTTGACGGCAGTCATCATCTTCGTCGTCGTCAACATCACCATCCACAACAAAAACAACATAACTATCTACAACAACAACATAACCAACTACAACGAGAACATCAGCAGCAGCATCACCAACAGTACTTTCAAAGTTACCAGCAAATTCAGCCGCAAAATTTTCAACCTCAACATTACCAACAACGGTATCATGAAAATGATCAAATTTTTCAACACTCTCAATATAACCCACAACAGAAACAGCAGCAGCAGCAACATTATAATCACCAACTGCAACGACAACAACATTATCACCAGCCGCAGCAACTACCACAACCGCATTATTACCAGCTTCAATTACAACAACAACCTCACAACAACAATCCCGCATACAGCTCATACCAACATCACCAGAGACATCACAGACATCAAACGCCGCCACCAACCGCCACACATGCTACAAACAGTTACGAAGACGACAACATCAATCAAGAATATAATGATAGCATGCAGAATAAAAGCAACAACAACAGCAGCAGCAACAACTTTACTGGCGCTGAACATAAATCAAACAGTTCAGACAAAGCACCTAGTAAAAGCAAGCAGCAAAGGGTTCCACCATTGTTGCTGGCGACTGCATTTTCTATAAATAAAACGTCACTAATAAATTCACCGATAATAACATCAACATTACACTCATTAAAAACATCAACTGGACTGGTTAAAACATCAAAAACTACCGCAACCGACACAACATCCACTACATATTCTATAGCTAATCATACAACTGAATGTGACAACACAACTTCAGGTGTCATAAAACCTATGAATAGTCACCCAAGTTCTCTAGCACCTTCATTTGACATTATCAGTTTTGTCATTCTCGACAAAAATGTAGTATACAAGGAATGTAATAACACAATGTACAACATTAGCGTCTGTAACGATGTACCTAACATCTCCAGGGCTGGAAAACTAAAATCGTTCACACTTCGCTCAAAACTGTTTACCGTTGAAAACTTGGAAAATCAATCATCTAGGACGAATGATTCGTCACTCAAGTTGGGTTTCAATGAAGAAAATGATCTTGTAGAGAAAACATTGAATGGTAGCAGCAGCAATATCGCAGGAAAGCCAAGAAATATTACCAGTAAACAATTAAAATATAGAAACGAAGATGTCAATTATCTCATTAAGAGGCATAGAAAACGTTTGATGAGAAATATTTCTTGCCCCGTGCTATTTTCATATTATTTTCAAACTACTCTTTTCAAATTTATATTTTTATATCTCATTTTAACTTATGCTGGATTTTGAAATTTCATTTATTAATAATATTATGTTATGACGAAGACCTCAATTGAAAAAATTGGGCTTTGTCGATGTACAGTAAAAGCGAAACAAATGATATTTTTATTATAATGCTGTCGATTTATTGAGAAAATTTTTCAATAAAATAATCCATAAACGGCTGTTGTTGCGCATCTTCAATTGCTTTTAGTAACTTGTGAAGAAAATAATATAGTTAATAATGATAATGTGTTTAATGTTATTATTTGTTACAATTGAGAAAAATTAAAAAACATATATTTTTAAACTAAAATACATTTGATAAAAATGTTAAAGCCACTAGATGAAAAATCTTTGGTCTGGATTTTGTAGAATGAATTTAAACTTTCTATGCATATGTTCCGATCCGATGGATTGTATACGTGCCTGGGCAACTTGAGAGTCCATTTATATTAATTTTTCAAAAAAATTAAAATTATTTCGCCGTGGACGACATTCAAAATTTCAGGTTCATGTTCTCTGGGGCCGGCTTGGCGGGGTGCAGTCATGGATACTTTCTTGCTGACGTTAGTGCGACAGTAAGTTGAAAATCATTTTTGATAATATTTTTTGATTGGTGATAATTGAGGTTTTTTGAACTTAAGATGTTTGGATAATTCCTGTAAAAATTAGCGTCAAAATATCGTTTTAATGTTTTATTAATTTGATTGCATTTGAACAACATTGCAGTGGCGAGACAGCTGAAAACCAACTTAAAATTATCCAAGGTTAACTTGTTTTCAATTTTTTAATTTTTTACATGTCTGGTCTGCTTCTTAGTAAATTTTTGCAGCTAAAAAATTCCTTTTGCATAAAAATTTCAGAGTTGTTCTGGGTTTTATGTTAATTATTTTTAATAGTTTTGCTTATTTATCATTTTTATCTTAAGTGCAGTATTTTATTGAAAGTTTTTATAAACGCTTAAAAAACTTTTTTAGGCCAAACTGACACAAAACTAACCCAGATTGGAAAAGAGCAGGTCGTGTTGTTAGGCAAGTTTTTGAAGAATGAAAAGTTCACCCATGTATACACCAGTGACTTGAATAGAGCTTATCATGTAATTACTAATTTTTCTGTTAATTAAAAGTTAAAATGTTTTAATTTTGTGTATTAGGTAACGTATATAATATATATTTTATGTTGTAGGATTATCATTTTTAACTTTTTGTGATTTAATGGTTCTTTGAAAATATTGTTTTACTTCTTTTTTAAATTGAAATTTTGATAATTTTTATATGTAATTTAATTTTTTTTAATTTTTATTCTAAAAATACAACATTAACCCAATGTGATCCTGTTAATGTTAATTAATTAATATCAACCTGATGAAGACTTGTGAAATAATTGTGAAATTGAATGAAGCGAATGAGAATCATATTTCTACAGATCCAAGACTTAGAGAAAGAGTAAATTAATTTTTTTTTAAATTTTTTTACATTGTTCCACTGATTATTTTAAATTATGATAGCATTAATAATATGCTTATACACAATTTTAAAGAAGTGGAATGAAATTTTTGTTATCTATTTTTAAAATATACCACAAGAAATTAGGAGTGCTGGAAGGTCAGTTCCACTCAGATTGCCAAAGATTAATTAGAAACAAACGACGACCATTTTCAGAATATGGCATGGAGTCCAAACGTCAGGTTGTCCATTGGTTCATTAGAGTAATTATATGTCATTTGATTGGTTGTTTGATGTTAAGTACTGTTTGATTGGTTAATGAGATGAAGTATTTGTTATTTGATTGGTTGTTTGTAGTAAGGTGTTGTTTGATTGGTTGTTTGGTTTGGTTGGCCAATGATTTGGTTGGTTGATTAATTTAAAATAATTTAGTGTTAAGAATGATCCATTCATTGACTGGTTTACTGAACTATCCAGCTAGGTTCAAACCACCTAACTAATTAGTAAAATTGTTAATGTTCTAATGTTAGAAAGTTGAAAGTTTTATTAATTGATTAACAATCCAATGTCATTATGAAGGTCAGAGAAAGAGCAAAATCTTTTTTCAAGGACATCTGTAAGATTGTTTCTTCCAGGAAGAAGATAAACATAACAAAATCAACAACACCTTTGACCGCAATCAGTGGGGCTGCTACTAAACTGCAGAACACTGACAACTCTTTGAATAACTTCAACAACAGCAGCAACATCAATATCACATCAACTAACAACAACAACCAAAAACAAACTTTCATTAACGACTTTTGCAACATTATAAACAAAGATGACGTGAGCGACATCAACATTAGAAGCATCAACTGCAGTTGCAACAAGTTAAAAGACAACAGCACCAACACAAACTTACATAAGCAGCATATCTCAAATTTTACAGAAACATCTAATTTTGCGAAATCTTTTTTTTTATCTAACACTAACTTGAATGATAACAATGTTAAAAATTATAACAATGATAGTGATAACAATAATAATCTTAATGACATGGACATTGGCATCAATAGTGGAAATTTGAAAATGTCAACAACAACAACAAAACTAGTTGAGTTAAAGGAGCATTGCATAGAAGACAACAACAACAATGTTCCTATTAGTAATAGTGGACAGCCAACAACTTGTGATATATCTGCAACGATATTCAGCAACAATTGTATCAATGATGATGGTGTTAATAACAAATTAGGCTTAGGAAAGGTATCGTCTCCATCATTTTGTTCCAGAGTAGATTGTGCAATCGATAATGGCAGGCATTCGTTACATTCATTTTTAACTACTATAACATCTATGTCTGCAAAGACGACAAAGTTATCGACAATGTCAACAACAACCACAACAACAGTGTCATCAACAACGAAAACATCAGCAACAACATCGTTAGAAACTGTCAAACTTATAAAATGCAATCCTGTAGAACTAGACAATAATGATGATGATGATGATGTTAGTATGAATAACAATGTTAATGATAAGAACAACAATTACACTCTTGATGAAAATATTAGCAGTGATAATGCAAATAGTAATAACAATAATGAACATAGTGACACAGTAGAAGATTGTGTTGCCAACATATTAATAGTTAGCCATGGTGGATTTCTCATGGAGCTCATTACATATTTCTTCAAGGTATGTGCATATGTTTGTTTGTGTGTGTGTGTTTTTCTGTCTGTCTATTTTTTGGTTCAGATATATATATATATATATATATATATATATATATATATATATATATATATATATATATGTATATATACACAATGATACATCAATTTTATTAGTAATATATATGTTTATCTTAATACCAGAATATATGTTTATGTTAGTACACATATTCATGTTGATGCTTCTGATACAGTTGAGCACTTGTTACTACCAATAAAAATACATATGTTTATAAAAAATATTGCTATAATAGTGTACTGATACTACTACTAACATATAGATTTGTATATATACTAACAAGGTGTGTATATTGTAACTTATTGATATTCAGCTATTTTGGCAAAAATACTCAGCTAGTAATGTTATCTCTTTTAATACTATTCTTTTAACAAAATAGTGTAATACTCAAAATAGTGTAATACTGTTTGTTGTTTACTACTATTACTGCTTTTTCCTAAATGGATAATGTTCATATTGAATAGGAATTGGATTTTCAAATAGTCTGTCTGCAATGCACCGTTATGTGTGTAGTATTTTTTATCCATTATCAATGTGAAAGTTGGTGCATATAGATAGACTGTTGTTGTTGTTGTTAATGCTGCTTAGTACTTTTAATGTTAGTGTGTTTGTTATTACCTGCATTGCATTTCATTAACAATTTTCTATTTCAAAGGAATTGAAATGTGAAAATCTTGATGCTTCAGCCTTTGAAATGCAATCATCAACGACATCAACAACTGCAGCGAAACTGACGTCAACAACTGACATGACTGTTTTGAATAAAAGTGGCATTAGCACTACTACGGTATCCATGAATACCAACACAAACCCATCAACGGCAGCAACAAATCCATTGCGGGCTAGTACTTGTACATCTGAAAACATCAGATCCTACTCTTCTACCGCATGTACTACTGCATTCAATACTGCCACTGCAGCTGCTACTACTGCTGCAGGTGGCTTTGGCACTGATGATGATCAGAAATCCAGTGTGCAGACAGCAGTCTCCAGCAGTGTTAATGATCTATGCAGTGACGCTGCTGTTTATGATGTAAGTGAATATGATAAGAGTACCACGATGACACAAGATCAAAACTGCTTTGTTGCTGATATTATAAATGATCATCCTGCCAGTAATAATCAAGCTGGTTCAGTTAATATCGAGGATAAAGATAATAGGATTGGCTGTAGCGGCAGAGGCAATCGCAATGATGAGTTGAGATCAGAGTGTGGCAGTGTTGGGACACTTTCAACACCTAATCATCCGGCATGTCCTGACGTTGGCGGTGACGCTGATGCTCCCTACCTACCTGAGAGAGACAGTAGTGATAAAAGAAATTATAACGATACTGATGATGATGAAATTAATAAGAAGAAGAAAAACTTATCGGCTGAGTCATCATTGGAGTCAGAAGAGACCTCTTGTAGAAGAAGCATCATGTCAAATGCTGGAATTTCTAAATTTCTTGTAACTATAAACAGAAAATCCGGCAAAGCACTGAAGATACGATGCCTCTTTTTAAACAATGTCGATCACCTACAAAATGAGGCCATTATGGCCGATAAAAACAGCAATGGGGATGATGGTGGCACGGTAGGTGTGGTTTCAGACGGTGATGGCAATGGAATTCATACATCTGCAGCAGGTTTCAATCCCAAATTAAATAAAAAAGTGGTCGTTAGAGATGGGGTATGCTACTACGACGACGATGACGGAATGGGTTGTCATAGTAACGATGACGAAAGCGGCCGTAGTAATGATGACGATGTTGATGGGGGAAGAAAGAATGATGATGACGCACATGATGTCTTCGGTAGATGAAGTGACGGTTGTCGTTGGTTGTTGTTCGTGTGTTGGAGCTGGTGCGGGCGCTTCAGAATAAAGAAGTGAATGATATGCTGTCACAAACTGTTAATTGTTGTTATTTTCATTAGGCATTATTATAATTTATTATTCATCATTGTTATATATTTATTATTACCATTGTTAATTATATTTTTACTATAATATGTACAATAATTTGCACTGGTCTTTGCAGTTATTTTTTACCTGATCTATATATTTTAAATGCATGCTAGCATATATAATATATATATATATATCATGTTGCTCTTAATGTATGTATGCATATATATATATATATATATATATATATATATATATATATATATATATATATATAACATATATATCCGTATGTATATGGCAATAAAATTTGTTTTTGTATCGGCATTAATTCATTTCTTAAATCTTTTTACCTAAATTTTTAATGGCCATTGTGTTATTAACAGCTATTAAAATGTTCCGAGAAAAATTTTTAAATGGTGACGTACACTTCACTTCGTCATAAATTTTCGTGTGCTTTCCTTTACGAATTTTAAATAATTTAATAAATAAAAAAAGTTTTAAATTCATTTCTCAAATGATTTAATAATTTTTATCAAAAGTTTTGTACTATAATAAGCAGATTATGATGCATGGTTTAAGTTTCTTCCATTTCTTTCATAATTAGTGCTTTTTAAATAGCATTAATTAAACGTCGTTTTATTTGGTTAATTATCTTTTTTAACACTCTAACTTAAGTTTACTTTTTTAAACTGCTGCCGTTTTTTTAATTATTTTATCATCAATCATTTTATTAAATACGGAAAATTTGTTGGCACTAGAAGCTACGTGCATCATTTATACCTTCATACAAACTTCATAGAAGATAAATATATAAATTACTTGATTACATGTGCCATGTGTGTATATGTATGTGTGTTTGTTTGCCTGTGTGTGTGTGTGTTTGCAAGCAGACATTCTTGATTTTTTTAATTATCATTCATTCTGAATACTTTTTTTCTAAGTCAAATAAAATAATTTTCTTTGTAATACTTTGCATTTTTATGTTTCTGTGAAATATATAAATAGATGCACACGAATCCTACACAATTGATAAGGTACTACAGAAATTAAAAATGCATTTACCAAAATGACTAATCCAATGTAAATGCAAACTATACATCGCAACCTTTAAAATGTGATACATTTTATTTATATATATATATATTATATATATACATACATACGCATACAATACATGTATATTCATACATGGTAAAAATCGGAATGACGAAAGGTATAAATTTTTTGAATAAATACCATTCTTATTGAATCTATCAATAATAGTAATAATAAACTTTTTATTCACTTGTTTTAATATTTATCAAAAAACCTATAGCCCGAAACTATAGTTAAGTTTATGTTCGTTTACTGAATATGCAGTTTTAATTCGTTGAGTAAAAACAATTAACATATAAAAAATGTATAAATAAAAATTTCACAACAAACAAATGAAATAGACTAGAATCGGATGATAGTGAATATTAAAGTATGTACAACGAGCATGTTTGGTTGGTTGGTTGGTTGGTTGGTTACAGCAACAAGAACATCCATACACAGTTGAGAAACAAAATGTCCTCCTCCTACATCGCAATCATATGAGACATTAAAACATATGTTTAGCCATTTATCAACTTCTTTCCACTTTACATCAATCAATCACGAAATGAGACTCATTAAAACACGTCAGCCAATAATCACCAACTCGTTTCATTTAATCAATCGATGAGACAATCAATCACGGAATTTCCTGTTCGGGTTTTTCCCAAATAAGATTTCTCTCAGCTCCGGTGCAATCTGTTGATAATTATGTAATTCGTCAATATGGCGGTAAAAAAATAATTTTGAAATGTTAATTATTTAACAGTGTTTTAATTATCCAAAACTTAATGTACAAAACGATATCAACAAAACCCAAATTATAGAAACCAGTAAAGACAGAAAAATGAACATACAGTATGGCTGATGCTCTGCAGACGACTATCCAACGTATTCTCCACTTTGATCTTCAGGTTGCCTGACAATGCCTCAACGCCACCGGTTCTGTTCCGATCAAACAACACGTGATCATTATTAACATCAATTAATAAATTTTGGAAAGGTTCGATGTAGAACCGTGTGAAAATTTTATAACAGCTTCACATAACAAAATGGTTGAAACAAAAACATGCAAAGTGAACATATGAAAACAAAAAGAGGAGAAACATACGAATCACTGGGCAGATATTGTTCCTTATCAGCAGTCACCTTCACCTTCTTTCCAGTCGACTTCATGTAGTAGTCCACACATTTTGGGATCAACTCCTAAGTTATAAGTATCAACAATATTTCTTGCAACAACAATAACATCTGTAGTACTTGTAATATTTATAGAATTTGTACTATTCATGCAAATGATGACATCACCTATAATATAACAATATCAGTACAATGAATTAATTTTATCATTAACGATTCTGCAGTGAGTGAGAAGCAATATTATTATTGAAATTTTCATTAAAACGTGAAAGATATGACTAAGATAATATTTCAAGTGGAATTATTTATAGAGTCATATATGAGTGGTGATAATTTTAATGGCATGATAGCAGCATTAATGATAATTAATAATAATAGTTAAGTAACATTTTAATTATACTTCAATAATGTGTGCATCCTGCTTCTTACATCTAACAACAACTTCAGCTTCCAACAATTTGAAGAGACACTGACGTAAAAACGTACAAGATTCAGTTTAGTATAACATAATTTCAAGTAGTATTATGCAGTGAGTCAGTAATTTAAGAGCTATAATGATTACTAAAAACTTAAATTTTAATAGCTAACAAAAATTAAATTATCATTAAATTAAAGAAGACTGAACGTTTATCATTTGTAGAACTGATAAACAGGAGAATTAACAACAGAATGAACAGCTGATGAACAACAGCTGATGAACAATAGCTGATGAACAACAGTTGATGAACAACAGTTGATGAACAACCTGTGTGAGGAGACCCTCCATGAGAATCTTGTACCTGCTCGGATCTTGAGTCAACTTCACCAGCATCTGCCTGGTACCTTCTGTCACTTTCTAATCAATGGTCAGTCAGTTAGTGGATAAGTGGGATGAAAAATAAAATAGACTTGTTAAACAAATAAATGTTTTATACACTAAAGTTTACTGTAAATGCCAACCGAAAAATAATAAATTTTATGACTAATTAAATAAAACTTAATTTAATTTGAAAAAATCTGTTCAACTCTCAAATGATCCTCTCTGGCTTTCAGTATTTTCAGACGAGCAGCATTTGACAAGTTGGAAATTTGGCTAAAAATAATAATTTGAACATTACCAATATATTATAATAAAAATAAAAAATATATAAATAATAAAATACAGGAATAAATTGAACCAATTATGAAATATTTTTGAAATATTTTTAAATAAAGAATTGATCAAGAAAAAAAACACAAATAAATGTTAAATGCAGACATCTTTCTCTGCAGTTCAATTTGTTTCTGTCTTCTTTCATACTGCTCCATAATTTTAACTCTATGCATTTGGACTAATCTACCTTTCTCAATCTCAAACTCCTCTTCTGCCTGTTGACATGAAATGAAATAAATTAATTATAAGATAGTTTGAATAAATAAAATTAATTAATTATTTGAAAATTATTTATTTAGTTAGTTGAATTTAACAAAATAAATTTATAAAGCTACAAAAATTCAATACAATAATTAATTATATTTATTATAATAAATAAATAAAAAGCAAAAAATATATTGAAATGACTTGTGTGAACCTTGGCATCAATTTCTTCAGCTTTTTCATTAGCCTCCTGATCTATGAATGCTATCATGTGCTTGATCTGCCATTTAATTTATTGTTTGATTGAAATACTAAACAAAATTTTTAACTTGAATAAATTTAATGATTTATTCAAGTAGTTGTGAAACTTAATAACCAATTCTATTCTGTTCTACTCTTTCTTTGTGGTGTCATAAAAAAATAATTTGATAAATTTTAAAAATCAATAAAAGAATTTAACCTGCTTTTGGACGTCTGCATCGCTCAACGCCATTTTGTAAACTTTTAATTTCTAAATTTCAAATTAAAATAAACTTTGTGGGAGCGTTGAAACTAAAAACAAGGTTTAAAAAACTTAGATGTTTTTGAGTCTTGGAATTTTTAATCAGTCGAACAAAGATTATAAATATGTGGTAAAAACTGAAAACAGTTTCTCGAGTTTCTCGACCCGAGTATGTAATTTTGTGCGCACTTTTTCACGATTTCCATTGCAGGGAAACATTTTTGCATTTGTTAAATTTTATTTCAGTTTCATTAACTTATATATCAATCATTCCTCTGTTTTCGCTTGCAGGATTTCTCGTCTGCTCTGAAAATCCTAACTGGAGCATAGCATACGTTGGAGTTAAGAAACGTGATACTTGATAGAAAAACGTGATTAGCAATATTAACGTTTCTGATGGCTAAAATAAAAAAAGTGAGCTTGGACTTTGAAAACATACGAAAAAAGAGAGCACCTTGCTACAGAGAGATGGACAAATATGAAAACCAGAACAACAATTTGGAGGATGTCAAAAAGGTGGACGTGTACAGCCTAGCATCAGAGCAAACACAACTGCTGAAATGTATCAGAAAACATTTATTGTTTCCACAAAAGTACTCCTGCAAGCGAAATCTGCTAAAGACTGACACCAGAACTAAAACTAGTGACAGAAAGATGAGCGGCAAACTCAACATTCCTGATAACAAAATGGTGGATTATTACAAGCAGATGAAATCTAAGAACAGTTGGAACAATTATAAACAAATGCAAACCACGTTCGTTAAGAAGGTAATTTTATTAGAATCTTTCATTTTGACATGTGACAACACATAATGATTTTAGTTTTTTCATTTATTGTAAAGCAGGGAGCAAGCAAAAAAGAGCTCATCAGCCAATCATTGAGTTTGCTGAAGAAAACATTTCAGGATTTGAATGTAATAAATATGAAAAAGAAACAACTGAAAATGACCTCAGAAAGCAGTACCTTTATCGATAATATATTTTGAATCAATTTATCAAACTATTTTTAACAGTAACATTTTATTATGTAAATGAAGTACATATTCAGTGGAACATTTGTAAGTGGATTTAGTAACAACCTAATACAATTTTATCAAATAAAATGTCCTTCAAAACTAAATATATATCCATCAGTAAAAAAAAATAATTATTATCTAAACTTGAGGAATGACTACAAGAGGAACATGTCTCTATCTCATCAAACAAAAATTAAGCATGATCACATCAAACATTAATGTAGTAAATAAATTTGTCTTAAAGCATAAAATTAAAGTTACAAATCACATAAAGAATTCTTAGAAATTAAATTAATTAAAAATCTGTAAAAATTTGTCAATAAATAACATTTGTTTTGACAGAACATAAGACAACAGGTTTCATAAATATATAATTTGTTGTGTGTACTTGGAGGTATGAGCTGAAAACAATTCAATTGACAACTCTGCTGAGTACTTTATCAGTAATCTCACTATGGTTTAAATCACTGTGTTCATTGGCCTGAATCTCATGGGTGATGCCCACCAATTTTTTCTTGAGAGCATCCTTGCTTGATGCATACAACATCTTTGATTTGGTTGGAGCATTTTCAGGGCACCTGTATTATATAAGTATATTTAATTTATTTTTGTATATATATATATATATATATATATATATATATATATATATATATATATACTATTTCAGTATTTTATATGTCCATATGATATTAAAAAATTAGGTAAGTTCACTTTACATTTACATTAGAGATTAGATTTGTCAATAATTAACAACATTAAGATTTAAGAATCATCAATCAATGAAAAATGTGAAAGATAATGAATTTCAAGAAAAATGTATTAGTTTTTCAATTAATTTTAAATTTTAAAACGATTTTAAAAATTATAAAAAAATTAAAATGTGTTGTACACCCACCAAACAATGAAAATCAGTTGGTCCCTGGAGCCTGCATTGTTGGTCTCAAAATGGAAATCATAAATTGCGTAGCGGCAGTCGTCAGAAGGCAACTGGTGAACAAACTCCTCGTAAGCTTTCTTACCTTCTGCTGGAGATTTGTCAGCTTTGCCGGATTCTACAGTTTTTTCAATTTCAATGGCCGTCCTGTCAGTCGATAGTTTCATTTGAATAAAACGATACTTATGGCCAATTTTGATGTTGTTGAATTCGTTAACAACATCATCTTTAACTGATACGCCCGAAGAAGCCATTTTAATTTAAAAAAACAAAAAATTAAATGCGGAACAAATTTAATTTAACGTAGCACCAAGCAAAATATAGTACAACAAGCTGTTGGTTGGTAGAGGAAGACAAGCGCATATATTTATAAGATAGTATATAAATCACACCGGTATACTTATGTAGTTTATATATAAATATATATATATACATTGTTAGTATATATATGGTATCTAAACCTAAATGTATTAGATACTTGTATAGTTATATAAGCATCTAAATAAGTATCCCTGTTGTATGTACGTTTGTGTCAATGTATGGTAAGGACATTTATGCTGCTAACGTCGTTTAGTAGACTTCTAGGCCGCGCCTACATCCGATGATGAATAAGAGTGGTGTATTTTTAGAAGCGGTGATGTGCGCACACTAAAAGTTTATTTATATTCAGGTATGAAGTATGAACAAAAATGCCTATTAAACAGAAGTTTCAGTGCTGCGAGACACTAAAAACACTGTTCATTGGTTTATTACAATGCAACCAAAGTCTAAACGGCGGAATAATCACATGAATCTCGCTTTCCATATAAGGATGTACAGTACATTTGTTATAGATATCAATGATTAAGCTTATATCCAGCAGAAGTGTGTCAGCGTATTTAACTTCATATATTTTAAGGTTATGTTTATAACATAATGGTAATAGTTATTATTATATAACATAATGGTAATAACAATTAATGTGATATTAAAATCCACATAGGACTGGCAAGGCTATGTGTCATTAACCACAAAAATTTGCATCAAAGATTTAGCAACTAGCAAGCCATCTGTTTATAACATAATGGTAATAGTTATTATTATATAACATAATGGTAATAACAATTAATGTGATATTAAAATTCACATAGGACTGGCAAGGCTATGTGTCATTAACCACAAAAATTTGCATCAAAGATTTAGCAACTAGCAAGCCATCTGACACTGCCTTACTATTTTGTCTGCTATTCTAGTGCCGCGCTTGTTACTTTCCTATTCAGATTCAAGGTTCACTTTTCTTCAATGTCATTTCTTTTTTTATTAATGTAAATTTTAATTTTATCGATAAAGGCATTGATTTGCGTTATGCTTATTTCCATCATGAGTTTAAAAATTTTATTTTCAGTGAAAAATGTCGTCCTTGGAGAGTGTCATTGAACTGAACGATGGCGTTAAAATACCTAATTTTGGATTGGGTCTCTATTTGCTTGAATCTGGTTCAGCTGCTGAACTTTCCTTACTCTACGCTTTGAAGATAGGTTACAAATTGCTGGACACTGCCCAATTCTACCAGTATGATCGTTTTGTATTTTCAATTTTTTAAATTCAATGATTTATTAATTAAATTATTAAAATTTAACTTATTTATTACTTTTAAGTTTTAACTAAGTCTTTCTTAATTAAAATAACATTTTTGTTTTAATGGAAACAAACATAAGTTGTTTTTCACTTTAATTTATTGCTGAATAATTTATGTTGACCAGCTGATTCTGAGTGTGTTCTAAAATGTTCATGTCTAAATATAATTTTTTAAACTTTAATTAAATAAATTGTTTATAACATATTTTTATAAGCCTTTTGAACATACAATACAGAAATGAAGCTGATGTTGGCAGAGCAATTAAAAAATCAGGAGTTGACAGGAAATCAATTTGTGTTGTCAGCAAGGTGTGGGATACCAACCATGGCTATGAGGCAACTGTAAAATCTGTCAAAAACAGTTTATCCTTGTTAGAAATATTAATTTTCAACAATTTTTCTAAGGTTTCCATTTTTAAAAGTTATAAGTTTACCATTTTTAACTAATATTTCAGTTGTTGATGCTTTATATTTTACATAAATAGATGTTGTTAAAATTAATTTTTGTAAAACATTCAATAGTTAAATTTCAATCATTTTTGCAAAGTTTAAATTTTAAAAGACCTGGCTTAATTTTTTTATGATTTTAGATTCCAGCTGGATTATGTTGATATCTTTTTGATACATTCCCCTGTTTCAGGCAGCAATGTTGAAACCTATAAGGCACTCTTAGATTTGAAGAAAGAAGGATTGATCAAGTATTAACATTACGTTTTTGAATTAATATAATTAATGGGGTATAAAATACTGTCATTAATTTCATCAATGGATTATAATTCTATTATAAATTTATTTTTTTTAATATTTTCTGAACTAACATTCAAAGGTCAGTTGGAGTTTCAAATTTTGGGATCCAGCATTTGAAAGGCTTGGAAGAGGCGGGTTTGCCCACCCCATCCATCAATCAAATTGAGCTCCACCCATTTTGCAAGCGGGAAAAATTGGTAAATTATTGCAGAGAGAAAGGTATTTGTGTGATGGGTTATTGTCCAATTGCCAGAGGAAAGTGCTTCAATGATCCAGACCTCATCAACATTGCGAAAGAGTGGGTGCCATCTGCCATTGTAACAAATCACACATACACAATATTTCACCACTGATAACTTTCTTTAATTTAACTTTGCAACACACGCGTCACCACTTTACACTTGTTAGCTGTCATTTATAGACAAAATTATGCAAAGATTTTTTTCATTCCTGTTTTGAATTGAAATGCGGTTAGCAATGGCGATGACTGAATAGCTTTTTGGCTAGGCTACTTAATCAATCTTCAATTCATTATTTTGTTAACATTGAATCATGTATTTATCTGGTCATGCAATAAACATTGAGCTGCTGCTACAATTCGTTTACAGGCATAACAAATCAGTTGCTCAAGTGATGATTAGATGGAGTCTGGACAAGGGTTTTGTCACCATACCGAAATCGTCCAATACAAAACGAATTCAAGAAAATATGGAAGTCTTTGATTTCAAACTCACTGAAGAAAATCACCGGATATTGGTTGTTAAATTATTTTAATATAAATGTAGTTTCAAGTTTAACTGTTTTTAATTCGATTAAATCAATATAGGCGGGCAAACCTGACAACTCCGTGGTCAGTCGGGATCCTACAACCCTCCCATGGGAAGGGTAAAAGTTACGAGTATTATGGAATCAATACCGCATGTTATTCTTATTGAGTCGTCTTAATTTTGTAATGCGAGTTTGCTGTAAAAGTCAAACTTCAATTTAACTCAATTAATCAGTTCTAAATAGTTTGAAAAAAATGCGATGATATGTTGGTTGGCGTTTATTTTTTGCATCTATATTGAATACCTCATTACATTCATCCTGTTACTGAGTTTTAAAATGTAATCAGAACGTGAATTATTATTGAACGGACTCGATGGCTGCGCACGATGGCGTCAATCGAAATTATCTTCAAAAATGATTGTATCAATCTGACTTTTTAATAATGTAACTTGTTTAAGGTAGAATAAACGTGTTATTCAGTTTTTGCAAATTATGTAAGTTTACTTTCATTGTATTGCGTAATAAAGAAATATTTTCAAAGCGGCCACCCATAAAAGTAATTCATCCAAAACACAAAAAATTTTTTCGAAATACGAGTACACCCACACACACACACACACACACATGTAAAATGATGCGAACATTTCGAGTCAGTTTATTCGTGATACTTCAATTCGTCTGAACACCAGGGATCTGGAAATATTAAGCGACAACTTTCTTAGACAATTAAGGATTAATTAATTAATTGATTAATTAATTAATATATGATTTACATTTAAATCTAAGATTTATTTGATGTAAAGTATATCAATTTTTGAAATAAATACACGAGCAGTATGATAACTTTCTTATGTGAGTTTGTCTTTTCCTCTCCTTTCAACCTCATAGTGAACACTTTCAAATCCTTTTTTTTATAAAAAAATTATTTTTAATTATAACAAAAAAAATGATCGATAATCAACTCAATTTTCCACATTATGCTAAATTTCAATTATTTGATTCATTGATGTCTGAGTATGATGTCTGAGTAAGGTAAGTAAAGTGACGATGAGTTTGGTATGAAGTTTAAATTACAAAAAAAATTTTTGCATTAATAATTTATTTAATTTTCTAGTTTCGGCTTTTCTTAATAATCCATCCACAAGCCAAAATATTAGAGTTGTAAACCTCGTTGATATCCTAGTCAGGTTTTTTTATAATTCCAAAATGAAATTTAATTCTTTTTGATTGATTGATTGCCGTTTCAGATGATTTAAGTTTTGCACAAGGTTGCCCAATTTAGTGGTGTTATTTAAAGGTTTTGGAACGGCATTTCTCGAACATGTTTCATATCAATGTACGTTAATCAGACTGTCTATTGGAGTCATCCGACTGCCCGATTGTTAACTATTCAAAATTTTGAAAACGTCACAACGCATGTATTGTACAGGCACGCAGTACGGTTACTAACACTTTCGTACAAATCTTTCAGGAGTTCTTTATATTTCTTCAGATATCTTTCGTCATAATTTTTAACATTATTATAGTGTGAATATTCTTCGGTGATGTTGTCATCATCATCGTCGTCTTCGTCATCATCGATACTGTTTTTCTTTTTTACATGCCTGTGACGGATGCCTGAGCCCTTACGCTGTTGAATAGTTTTTTCAATTTTTGTGATCATCCTCATCGTGCAATCATCGTCATCCTTATCATCATCATCATCATCCTTAACATCATCGTCGTGTAATCATCGTCATCATGAAAATCTCATCACCGCAGCATCGCCATCAACAACAACATTTATTTACTAGCATTTACTACAGAGTATAATATTTTTATATGATGTGTAACACTTTATTGAAGTTTATTACTAAAATTTATTGCTTTTACGTATATTCATTATTAAAACAGGTAATAAGTTGTTAAAATAATTAATTAAGCACAGGTACTTGAAACAGTATTGGGTTACGAATGGAGCCGACACCTGTATGGAGCTTGTTAAATTTCTCATACAATGGTAATGGCCGTGGTGATGACGATTCAGGTGGAAAAGATAATGATGAGGGATTTTGTAGTGATGATGATGGTTTCTGTAATGGTGATGATGATGAAATGAAATGAAGTAATTTGATCTCCAGTTGTCTTTTTTCATTTTCTAATCGGAGACATCTATCCGTTGTCTGGCTGATGTCTTTTTGAAGCTGCGTTGTTTAAATAAATATATAATAAATATAGATTCACACGCACTTGTATGTCTATTAAATAAATTTACTGTTACTATCATCTTCAGTTAATTAATTAATTAATTAATCGATTAATTAATTAATCAATTAATCTATTTTCATGAATTATACATTCGTTCGTTCATTCAACCAATCCTTCGCTACGTTGTCATTCATTTAATACACTCCTATTGTGTTGTTATTGTGTGCGTTGCTGTATGTTATTGTGTGTGTGCGTTGTGGCGTGTGTGTAAACAGACCATGTTATTTTCGTTTATGGCATCTTTGAGTTGGTTCTTGCTATTGCTGAGCGTGCTCTCTGACTCCGCCAACTGAATATCTTTCATTTTCAGCTCTCTTTCCAAATCCTTCTTCATCATCTGGTTTGTTTTTTAATTAGTTGACTAGATATATATATATATATATATATATATATATATATATATATATATATATATATATATATATATATATATATATATATATATATATGATGTTTTGGAATACAATTGATAGAATCTATCGAGTTCTTAGCATTTGTTAGTTCATGATAAATCTTTTTCATTTTTCTAAAAATAATTTGATGTTAAGTTACTAAGTTATGAAGAACCATTAAACTGGCAAAATCTTTTTTGAGGATCTCTAACAAATTCTGGCAGTTAGCTTTCTCAGACATAATTTTGAGATCTTTAGTCAGCTGTTCAACCTGGTTGGCCAACTGATGTTTCTCCATTTTCAACTTTAGCAACTTTTTATCCGACTTTTCGTTTTTTTCTATTAATCTAAATATTTATGGGGAAATATTAGACAAAAACACATTTCCTCCCAGTGAAACGTTACAATAAGATTGGTGAGTCTTTGAAATTTGAATGGCGTGAAAATTATAAGAAAATAACTTGCCAGATGTAAAGCAACAAATTCAAAAAAAATTTATTCCAAGTTCCTCCGAAAACCTGTTAACAAAAAATTACAAACTTGTTGCAAGAGAGTTGGAGTTGAAGTCTTTGGTCAATGGCGTCTCTGATCTTTATATCATTCATTGTTTCACTTTTCATCGAACTGTTAAGTTTGGCATTAAGTGTCTCATTGCTTGAGGCTAACCTGTCACGTTCTGAAGTAAGTTTCGTGTTTTCTTCTTTCATGTTCTCCAAAGCTCCCATCACCCGATCTAAATTCTCCTCTTTCAGTTTCAACTTTTGGCTTAAGAACTGTATTGATTAAAATCAAATTTTTGCAAAGAGTTTGCGTAAGCATATTGTTTTAACAACACAGCCAGTCATTCAATTAAATTTATTGAATTAACCAAACTATAAAGAAACAATAAGCCAAACCGAACTATAGCAATTATTACACTAACTGGCCAAGTTATTTACATATGTATTTCATTTTAATGTAAATTTTTCATGTTTGTTATTAATTTTCCACTCACTATCTCATCTACATTCATTCATTCAAGAATTGTCATCCTTGACCTCCTCCCATAAAAACCTGAATTTGTTGGAGGTGCTGCTTCTTCTCTTCTTCATATTTTCGGAGGATCACCTCGTACACGTCGTCTGCTCGTTCATTTTTTTTCAAATTTTTTTAAATTTATTCAAACTAATTAAAGTTTTAAAAACAATCAAATGATATTTTCTAATTTTTTCAGATATTAAAGGCATTTTTTGAGTCCTTCAGATGTTTAGGGTATATCAATTTTTTAAACAATTCAAATGACTATATATATATAATTAGATTTTGTGAGTTTATTCAGGCAATAAGAACATTCATTTTCGTAGTTTGGGGATGTAGCTTTAGTTTTAATTTTAGTTTTACAACAATCGAAGGTATTTGTAAATTTCAAAAAAAGTTGCAATCCAACTCCGACTTTCAAAATATGTTCGAAATACGTATAAGCACGTCCTCACATGTTTTTGATGTTAACTTATCTCAAATATGAAGTAACCGATGATGATAATGTTGATGATAATGAAGATTTGACGATTATTATAAGCAATAAGTCGATAAAAAATTTTTTGTGAAAACCTTTTAAATTGCTGTTGTTGTATTGTTGCTGAGGGTTGCTGTTCTGATGAAATGTTCTTGTGAAGTCTTCTTGTTGGCGTTGTTGGTGGTGAAAAGACTGTTTCACAAGCTAAACCATAAATTTAAAATCTCAATTCATTCGTCTATTTTATTTTTTATTTTAACGATCTACTTTTTCAACTTTAAAAGTTTCTGGAAGTTAAAACTTCATCCAACATGTTGACGTGGATTTATAAAATAAGATTGGCAACATGAATAATAATAAGAAAAAAAGATGATTAATTGATTGTATTATATTAGATAATAATAAATGATTAAATACATAACCCAACGTACGTTGTTTGCGTTTGCGGAGCCGGAGAGCGGTGTCCCATTTTCTCTTAGTGCCTTGCAATTTGAAAAATTAATTTTATCCATACCATATATAATACAGACACATATTATAAACAAAAATTAAAAACGCAGACATGTTAATTTTTTAAATTCAAATTATTAGTTTTTTCACGTATTTCTCACCTTTTGCAACTCTGTTGAAATATTCATCATGTTTCAGTTTCATTCATAGACTTTTGTCAATTTAATTTAATAAATAAACGACATTTTTGTGTTGTAACAACTTTTCATATTCTAACTTTTGGAAACTATATTTTACCTATAATTTGGATTAATAAATAAGACGTGCTACAAATGGTTTCTATGGCAACTGATTACAGGTGTTCTATCAATAATTTTAATAATAATAATTTTATCAATTGATTAACACGTTTAAATCAAACGAAATTGTTATTTCATTACCAACTGGTTTGAACTGTTTTTCAAAACTATCACAAATAAACAATGGCAAGATTTTCAATGCTACTTTAATTATATGGCAACCGAATGCTTTATACATGGCTACATTCATTCATGTTTAACATAACTAGCTAGCTCATCTCTACTTCAAATTCAAACATTGTTTTTATTTGAAAAGTGAATTTCTGAGAAAGACACGAAAGAAACGTGATAAAATCGGTCACAAAAATAGTTTATTTCTCGTTCTACTGCCTACATGGAACCCTCAGCTGACGACAACCGTTTCTTAAATTATCAAGTTTGTAACTTACGACTAACACAAATATATCAAGCTTAATTATTAAATCGCATCTTTATTTTTTATCTCTCACTTCATAGTTCTTCTTAATTTATCTTTTAAACTTCATTAAATATTAAAATAAAATAAGATTAATTAAAAAAAAATGCGTGCTAAATCTAAAAGATATGCGCATACATATTGCATGCACGTATGTATAATTGTATAGTATACCTATGAACATTGTTCATTTTTTATTACAATTTAAATTAAAAGAATTTATAATATAAGAATTGATTGAACTCTAACAAACTAACTAGACATCACAGACTATTATTATTATATATAATATACTGTCTCTATATGCTGTACTATACTACACAGGCATCTGGCAAACTTGTGAAAGTTATTCTTTCAAAAGGTGCTCAAGTAAGTTATTTGTTGGCTGAAGAAGAAGATGATGATGATGAAAAACTGATGTATAAAATAACTATGTTGGCTTTGATAAACATGAATACTATAAAATTATGAATGTCATCCTAACACAACACAATAAGATCAAAAGTGATATATTGATGGGAATAACAATGAAGATGATTGGTATATTTTGTGATTGTTGCAAATAGTCAGCTGGAACTGAACTGAAAACACTGTGGGAGGCTTGCACAAACGACAGTGAAGTTATCAGTCAGACAGCTTGCAATGCCATACTTCGATTAGTGAAATTAGGCGGATTGGGTGTGGATGAAGTCGAAGAAAAAATGGTAGTCATGTACGCTGTTACCAAGTCAGTGTTGATTCTGGTAACATTTCTTCACTATCATATCATTTTTTGTTGTGGTCATGGAATATTTGTCATCTAGCACATCATCATTGACACCGCGTCATTGTCGTCATCATCAACACCACATCATCGTCATTATCATCAACACCACATCATCGTCGTCATCATCATCATTATGACCTCCAGACAACCATACATCCTCATTGAGATGTCTTTCCAATTGTGTTTTGAAATGCAAAATGGTCCACCTGATGTCTCTATGATGAGGTTATATGATTGATGGATTGATGAATGAATAGATAGATGAATGGATAGACAGATGAATGGATTGACTGATGAAGAGATGAATGGATTGAATGATGGATGGATGAGTGAATGGGTAAAAATGTAGGCAGATTAGTTAATTTTTGATTGACAGACAGATGACATTATGAGATTTTTAATTAAACAAAATTAACATAGAATGGATAGAAGGTAGATATTTAAATGTTTTGTAGGCCCAGCATAGCTACGAAACAAATCTATACATTATTTTTTAGTATAACAAATTAAATTACCAAAGCACTAAAAATCGTTTCAGGATTAGTAAATTATGGACGGACATGTTGTCTGTGAGATTAGCTTCATGTCATCAATTCAACTGCATTCTTAAGGAACTTTTCATTATGCACGCGGATCAAAGGTACAATTGTTTTTTTCGTTAGTTTATTAGTTGCTTCATTCCACTTTTGAGTGTTTAAGATTAGTTTAATTTGGTTTTTTATTCAGATGAAAATAAAATTTTAAAATACAGGAACTGTATTGTGTTTTATTTTTATGTTCGGAATTTTTAAAATAGTTTCAATTGTCATCAACCTCATCATCTCATCATAACTCTTGTCACCTTCACTATCACCCACGTCATCATCATCATCTTTATCATCGTCACCATGGTAACAGCAGGTTCATCATCCAACACATGTCTCTTTTCTTCCGTTTCCTCTTCACCCACCAATCAAGTAACTCGAGTAACAAGACTGACGACGACGACGACGTTGATGACGATGTTGCTGATGACGTTGGAGCACTTCGGAGGTGCATCTTTCGAAATTTGTTGTCAGCCAGTGATAGGAATGAAGAATATCTCCTTCAACTGATGAGTTTCTTAAATGTTTGTGCTGCTGCTGTGTTGTTGATGTTGTTGACGCTGTTGGTTAAGCGTCTGCTTCTCGGATCGTTTTCTCGTTATCAGTCGAGGTTTTATAACAATACGAAAAGTTTTTCAAAAACCCTTGTATCGAAATTAAAAATACGAGTCTCAAATCGATGTTATTGCACAAAAAACTTTCTTAAAAAAGTGAAATGTTATAAATGAATAGTCACTTTCGTTGAATGTTTCGAATTGAATGACTTTGGTTTCTGTTTATTTCAGTCCAGTACATTTGGTAAACTAAAGTTAGCGGAAAAACAAATTAGCTCAGACGGTAAATGTGCCAGGCGTCGTCGTTGTCAATGCGTGATGTCCTGGTTCAAACACTATCCCTCAAAACCTAAAGGTCATCACCTCACGAACATGATGTCGTGTAAGTAGCCTTCCAGCATCTGCTCATAACGTACTTAAGAAGGGGAATAATAACATCAAAATTGCGTTAATGATTTTATATAATTTTTCAATTTAAATAAGAACATTTACGGTTTTTATTTTGATGCTTTCGTTTCGAGCTTGTCTTTACTTCATTGCAAGCGTCCATTACTTAAAAAGTATAATTCAATTATAAACGGGTTTCAGTTTTAAAAATTGAAATGAATATCTCGATATCGTATCGTTATTATGCTTTGACGACGTTTCATATTGTCTCATTTCATTTGAAAACAGGATTGTTATATCGTATCGAATCGTATGGTTTCAAAATAATAACGAGGCAGGTCTTGGCGTTAATGTCGTTCGTTCGTTGCTGATATTGATGTTTGTGTTGTCTGCATCGCCACCGCGTCGTCATCATCCGCTTATCACTTACCATACCATATACCATACGTCATACCACGTCTTTCAGATATCAAAGAGGAGCACTGAAAATGAATTGATGGACTATTACGACATGCTCTTGTCATCTCTCCAACGTTATCATCTTATAGAGGAAGGTGGTTTTATATTGATCGTGATAATATAATGATGACGTTGATGATGATGATGATGATGGTGGTGGTGTAGATTATGTGACGTCATTAATTCCAGATGTTGCAATTCTGTTTTAATTTGTTCATTCATCCCTACAATGACGACGACGGTGATGATGATGATGTCTGATTATAATATTTTAAAGGTGCTAACGGAAATGATGATGATGATAATGAGAGTCCTAGTAATAAAAATAATAATAATGATGATGGGGATGATGATATGATGATGATATGATACATTGAATAACGAAAATGCAGAAGATAAGGATATAACAATGATGATGAAGATTTTCGATAGCTTATTATCACTTCACCACTGGTGTTCTACTCACCTGATGGTTACGACGAAGAAGAAATTGACGAAGAAGATGGCCCTGATGAAGCGAATGATGACGATGGCCACTAATTTTATCTGGCAGATCGGATTGAAACGACCTTCAGTAAGTACAGATGTGACTATCTTTTCTTCTTTTTCACCAATCATCTGTCTGTCATTTCATTCATCCATCTGTCTGTTCTTTTATCCTTCCATTAATCAACCGTTTCATCTGTTTATCCATCAGTACGTCAATCAATCCATCTTCTCATACATCCATCCATCAATCAATCCATTCATCAATCAATCCATCTTCTCATACATCCATCCATCCATCAATCCATCCATCCATTAATTCATCCATTCAGTTCTTGCTCTCGAGCAACATCTTCCACCTCTGCACCGTCAATATTTTCCATCTGGCGGACCTCTCAGCCACCATGGAAATTTGTGAGGAATTATTTTTTTCATTGTCATCATCGTCGTCGTCGTCATCACTTTTCTTTATCGTTTCTGCGATTGTTGTCATCACTATCGTTAAAATTGTTGTTATCATTTTCTTTCGTTAACAATAAGTATCATCGTTAAGTATCATCGTTAAGTATCATCGTTAAGTATCATCGTTAAGTATCATCGTTAAGTATCATCGTTAAGTATCACTATTAAAATGTATCATTAAGTATCATTATTAACATCATTAAAGTAATTGTTGTCATCATCATCAACAACATCATCAACATCTCCATTAACATCATCTTCACCAACATAATCTTCACCAACATCATCCTCATCATTTCATCATCACTAACATCAACATCATCATTTTATCGTCTCAACGTCATCATTCCATCAACGACGTCATCATCATCATCATTTTGTTTTCAGTGTTCATCTCTGTCACGACCCTCTATAAAACATTCGAACATGAAGATCCCGACGCATCGGCAGCTAATAAAACGTCAAAACAATCACCAGCACGAACATCATCATCATCGCCGTCGTCACAATCGCCACTACCGCCGCCACCATCGTCACTCAATCAGTCCATCACCTCCATGCTCTTCCTCCCACTCCTCCAAAGAGTTTCGTGCGATGATGAGAGAGCAGCTGGCTTGGTCACTTTACTAGAGTATCACATCATGATGAAGTTGAAATGGACGGATGATGATGATGATGATGGTGGTGGTGGTGGTGGTGGTGGTGGTGGTGGTGGTGGTGGTGGTGGTGGTGGTGGTGGTGGTGGTGGTGGTGGTGGTGGTGGTGGTGGTGGTGGTGGTGGTGTTGATAATGTGGTGAGAGAAAGTGAGAAAGTGAGTGAAGGTAGTGTGGGTAGTGGTTGTTGTTGTGGAGTTGTTTCTGGATCTCAGGAAGTGAACTTGGCACAATATTCTGTTCTTTCTCGTTATTTATCAAATAATGACATCACCAACAACAAAAACATCAACAACAATAAAAACATCAACAACGACGATAGTGTTTTTCAATTTATAAGAAGTCTCATTAAATTACTTAACCAAAAATCAACAAAAATAACTCTACCGTTGCCCAGAGCCGCAACAGCAAAAACGACAGCAACTACTACTAAAACAATTTCCACTATCGCTACTACTACTACCGCGACTGCTACTGCTACAACTACTACTACTACCTTGCTGTTGTCTGATTATTTATTATCTTTTATCGCCGGGTTATTTTTGTTGTCAACATCTGAAGATGTCGTCATGAGTTGTTTGAAGTTGTTTTATGGCTGTTGCTCTAGAAATAAGATGAAAGTGAGTTGTTGTTGTTGGTGGTGACGTTGTTATTGGTGTTTATGTTGTTTTTGTTGTTGTTAGTGGTGATATCTTGTTTCTGTTGATGCATTTGTTGCAATTTGTGTTGATGTCTTGTTGTTGTGTTATGTTACTAGTGTTGTTGTTGCTAGTGTTGTTGTTGCTACTGCTAGCATTGGTGACGATATTGTTATTTGTTTTTATCATTCAAACAGTCCATCGCGATAGTGCCTTTGTTGACGTTCAAACTGAAGAACACATTCGATCCAATCCTCTACAATGACATCTTCCATTATCTGCCCATGTGTGCCAAACATCGGGTTGGTCGGTCGGTCGGTCGGTCGGTTGGCTCGTCGGTTGGTTAATTGGTCGGTCGGTTGTTTGGTTGGTTGGCTTATTGGTTGGTTGAATGGTTGGTTGATTGACTGATTGAATGATTGAAGGAGTTTTATTTCATTTATTTCAACCTTACTATCATTCGATAAGCGCCTAATTGATAAATCGTTTAATCATCAATTAACCAATCAACTACCGCTAAATCAACCGCCAGCCAATCGCCGCCCACCAGTTAACCAACCAATCAAAAATCGACCAACCAACTGACCAACCAATCGCCAACCACCAGTTATCCATCCAACCAATCAAAAATCGACCAACCAACTCACCGACCAGCAAACAGTGCCTTTGATCCTGAACATCCTCAACCCCTCCGAGCCTGAGGGCAAAAAGTTGGCAACTTCAACAATGTTGCAGGTGTTGTGCTCCTTGTGGAAGCAACACGATCAATGCTTTCCAACATTTTTTAGTTTGTTGAGTGAAGAATTTAAAATCGTTTTCAAATCTTCATCATCAACATCAGCAACAACGTCATCATCATCAACACCGCTCTGGGTGATGTCATATTGCTTGAGAGAGATATGCAGGCATAAGTGAGAGAGGGATGGTGTTAATGGTGTTGCCGATGTTTCTTATAATGATGTGGTTTGTTATACAATCGCTAGCCAATTAAACAGCGTTTAATAAACTTTTCAATCAATCAATCAACTAATCAATCAGTCAATTAATTAATCAACTAATCAATCAATCAGTCAACTAATCAATTAACTAATCAATCAATCAACTAATCAATCAATCACTCATTCCATCATTTATTTATCCGACCAATTGACTACAGTTCTGGCAAACATGGAAAAGAAGCTATTCAAATGATATTCAAAGTTTTAAGTCTCAAACAACAACAACAATCATCATCATCATCGTCGTCATCATCATCGCAATCATCATCATCGTCACCATCTCGGGATGTCTCAAGACTTTTAGTTTTGGATGGGTTGATGAGTCTGTGCAAGTCACACGTTGGTGATGATGATAATTATAAGACCGATTGGTGATTGGTTGTGATGATGATGTTGGTGAAAGGTGATTGGTTATGAAATGACGATGGTGATGGTGATGATGAAGACGATTGTAATGATGAGGATTATTGTTATTATTATTATTATTGTTATTTCAGACAATGGAACTCAAATCATATTGGACGTATTATAAATCTGAGAGCAAATTAACCGACAAGTTTGTTAATCATAATTAGCATCACCATTCTCTTATCATTATTTTCATTATTTATTTACTCTTGTATTTTCATGATAATTATAAATAATAATAACAAATAATAATAATAATGATCTTTGATTATATGTTAATATAACAAATATATTAACGCCAAACATTCGGTAGAATTTATAGAATATTGTTAAAATATATGTATGTATATATAATATATATATGCGACGTTTGTTGTGCTGACTTATATATATATATATATATATATACCATTTATATATACCATATATACTATATATATATATATATATATATATATATATAATACCATTCAACTGAAACGGCTCTATTAAAGGTTCTGTCTGATGTCTATGGGGCTATCGATCAACAGAAGACGTCTATGATGGTATTTCTCGATATGTCATCCGCATTCGATTGTGTAAATCACAAAATACTTTTAGGGAGATTGTGTGTTACTTTTGGATTTTCTGGTGCTGTGTTAAGGTGGTTTGAATCGTATTTGGTTGGTAGAACTCAGCAAGTATCATTTGGTGGTAAAGTGTCCGAGGTCAATATAGTTTTGTCTGATGTGCCCCAAGGTTCGGTTCTGGGTCCTGTCATGTTTCTTCTGTATACATCTGAGGTATTCAAAGTGGTCGAATCATTTGGTTTCTCATATCATACATTTGCGGATGACATACAAATCATTGTTACCAGTAAGCCTGGTACTTTCCGGGCCGAATTGGACAGATTGGTTGAATGTTTGTCAAAGGTTGATTTGTGGATGCAAAACAATGCTCTTAAACTGAATCAGAGTAAAACGAAATTTTTGCCGGTAGGTACGTGGCAACAGCTTTTGAAGCTAGAAACTGATTCAATCATTATCAAAAACAGTGTCATCCCGTTTTGCCAAAAAGCTACTAGTCTGGGATTTATTCTAGATTCCAATTTGTCAATGAAAGATCACATTAGAATGCTTTCCGTTGAATGCATGTACCAAATAAGAAAGCTCAATCAAATACGTAGATCTCTTGACACTACTACGTTGCAGACTCTGATTCATGCCTTCGTGCACTCACGAATTGATTATTGTAATAGCCTGTTTTACGAATTACCTGATAAACATTTAGTTGTATTACAGTCATTGCAGAATCGTGCTGCAAAGGTTGTTGTCGGCGGTTTAAAATATGATCACGTATCACCAATACTGAAACAACTGCACTGGCTAACCGTAAAAAAAAATAATCTTCAAAATATCAACTCTAGTCTACAAGTCAATAAATCGTCTTGCACCACCTTATTTGTCGGAAATGTTTGCAAAGAAGTTGGCACCTCCTTCTGAGGTCTCATGATCTGAACTTGCTGCTAGTCCCAGTTTCGTGTCTTCATATGGGGTCTCGTAACATCGCCGTCTTGGGACCGTCTGTTTGGAACAATTTGCCAGCCTTTCTAAGAGATCCGGAGTCGAACCTGCCTGATTTTAAAAGAAAACAAACTTATTTTCGTTGTAATTCATTGAACTGACTTCTTTTAGTTATAACTGAGTGATTTATTTTGTTTATTGTGCGATGTTAGATTAAGGAAATAATGAAGACTGTGTTTTTTTTTTTCTTAAAATTTTTTCGTTGAAATGCACTGATAACTCTTTATTTATGTTGATTATGCCATGATATATTTTTTTTTGATAGCGCTTTTGATATCCTTTGAATTAGCGCTTTATTAAATTTTTCATTATATATATATATATATATATATATATATATATATATATATATATATATATATATATATGTATATGTATATTTATTTATTTATATATACATACACACACATACATATTTTTTCTCCATTATTTTGTAGAAGCATATTGCATACGCAAGCAGATGAGTTGATCACCATCGTCAAAACATTCACCTTGGTTGCAAATCGTAATGATGAGGTGTGTGCTTGTGTCTGTGTGTTTGTGTATGTTTATATGTATATGTATGTGCTTGTTCTATGTATGTATATATCGGTGTGATACATACATAAGCATACACTGTTTGTTTACGTATAAATATATGTCTGCCTTGTTTTATTTATGTGTATATAAGCAATTTAAAATAGACTACGAAGATGATGTTGATTACGATTATGCTAGTGAGGGGTAATGAATGATGGCGACTACGATAACCGAAACCATTGATACAAAATTCAGAAATTCTGCCAAGAAGTTATTTCATTTCTTTGGAGAGTTGTTGAGTTGTTTGCAAACAACAGCAGCAACGTCACCAATAGTAGTGGCAATATAAACAACAACAACAGCAGTTGCATAAACAACAACAAAGATCAATTCAAAATATTGAACCAATGTTTTCTATCCTTATCCAACTTCAACACCAATCTTTTTACCATCTTTCAAATCCCCAAAATTGTGAGAAAATTTAATTTTTTTTGTGATCATGAATTTTTTTGTTATCACTTCTTTCCATCGTAATCGTCATCATCATCGTCATCATTGCAATCATTATCTTCACAAGTTCCTTCACGACGATTACGTGAGTAAATTGGCGGAAGTGGGAGAGCGCAACGATAAGGAAAAGGAACCAATCAGAAAGAGGAATTACGACTACGATGATGATGCTGATGATAACGACGATGATAACGATGATACTGATGGTGGTAATGATGCAAACAAAATACATGCGTACGCGTACGTGCAAATGATGATGTTGATTTGCAGTGAAGAAGTTATGAATGGTTAGTCACTGCATCACCTCACGTACTGTATAACATCACCATTCTGATCTTTAATATTCGTCGCACATTTTATTATCGTTGTCCTCTCATATTATAATAATAATAATAATTATTATTATTATTATTATCATCGTCGTCATCTATCACAAGTTTTTTCATAATATCATCGTCAGTTGGTTTATTAATTTTCAATACAATTTCCCTTCCGTAATCACTGTTTCTATCAACATTCTATCTTTTTATCGCTTTTCTCGCTGTTACTTCTTAAATTTTATATATACAGTTTTTTCTACTCATCAAGTCATCTTCGTCGTCGTCATCATAGAATTTGTAATAACCACAGCACCATCGCACCACCATCATTATCACGTTTCACCATCTTTGTCTTATCACCGTCACCACAGTCACCTGACACACCCACCCAGGTCTCAAGGCCCTGATTCGAAAGGTGGTCGTTGACAGTTTGGTGAACTTACCCCGCGGTATTTTCCACAAGTACAAGGAGAAGGTCAAAGTTCAAATGAGTGGGTGTTGTGGTTCTGCTGCTGGTGCTGGTGGTGGATTTAATTACGAAGATGAGATATCCATCAAGCAGAAGTTGTGTTAGTGTTTCTAGCATCTGGCTGCCTTTCATGACTTATCAAATTGTAATTTGTTGGACAGCATCACTATGTCTTACTACTGCATTTCAATTCATTACAAACCTTCGTCAACTTTTCCCCTTCAAAATGTTTTTCTCTCACTAATATCATTACACATCATCATCACCATCATCACATTATCGTCACCAACATCAACAGTACCTAGAGATTGTCGCATGCTACCAAGCAACAATATCATCAGATGTTTGATTGACTTCATCATAAACTTCAATAAAGATGATGATGATGAGGATGATGATGGGGGTGTCCATGCTGATGATGGCATCTCCGATGGAGGTCAGATGAAATGATGATGATGATGGCTGTAATGATGATGATGTCTCTGGTGAGAGTGATGATGCTGGCAGTGGCGATGTGGCGGTTCCAAATCCTGGAATCCAGTAAGATTCGGGGATCCAATAAGAACGCTAGAGATTCGGTTAAAACCGGATCCATGATTACTATCAAATAAAGTTAAATTAATAGTTCTATTAAATAGATTTATTAAATATCTTCAATTTTAAGCTGAAACGTAAAATTCTATAAACCTTTTTGAATCACGTGTTGAAATTTCCAACAAGTTTTGTAGCTATAGCCGAATCGAAGATTTTTATTTTCTAATAACGCGATAAGTGCCAAACTGCTGGTTGTTTCTGGGGATTTAAGTTAGGATGGAACCTTGGATCCATCATTTGAATTTTTTTCCGGATGCCACGAACTAGATTTTTTTAATCCGTCCCATTCCTGTCTGGTAGTGATAATGATGGGAATATTAAAAATAATTGCTTTAGCGATAATTGACGATGATTTTATTAGGAAGTGTATACTAACTGAGCCACTTAAAAAGCACAAAAACGCAAAATACAGCACAACATTCCCCTAAATTGCAAAACTATGATGATACCTCCACCTCATGATGACGTCACTACCTACGTCAGCGTTGAGGATAGTCACGGAGGTCACCATGACGTAATCACTCATTGACAAATTTTCCAGTTAAAAGATCTTTGAACTCTCACAAAATTTGTTTAGGTTCAGCCCAGGTTGATGAACAGAAATGTGAAAAACCGTTTCACAGTGGTGAACCAATGAAGATGAAGGAGAAGAGGAAGAAGATGATGATGATGGAGATGACGTTGCATGGATTATCAGACGATGGTCATCATCATCTCATGCCACCTATCGACTGGATGGTTCTGTTGGAGAAATCTCTTCAACAAAGTTTCTGTTGGTGATGATAATGATGATAGGATGTTGGAGTGCTGGTAATGATAATGATGGATTGTTGGTCGTGATGGTGATGATGATATTAGAGTGTTTGTCATGATGATGATGGTGATGACGACGACGATATTGGATGCGAGGATGAAAAATGATGTCGACCAATCGACCAATAATTCTAATTTTAGATAATTTATTATTTGGTTTATTGGTTAATTAGTTTTAATTTTATTTATTTGTGATGTTGAGTTGATAGTTTCAAAAATTTGATTGACAAAATACAGGCCCCGCCCTGTTTGGTTGCGCCTTGAAAGTTCTGTTGCAGCAGTGTTCAACGTACCATGTCTTGTCGCATCAGTATTGGCTCGGTGTTCTTAATCTTCAGGTCAGTTGTTTGTTTGTTTTTTGGTTGGTTGACTGATTGATTGGTTAATTGGTTGGTTGGCTGGCAAATCATTCGATTTGATTGGTTGGATGGTTGACAGACAAACTAGTTTATTTGATCGGTTGGTTAATTAAGTAGTTAGCTGTTTTTATTGCTTGGCTGATTACTAGAATACTAATTTTTTTTCTATTGACAATCCGTTACCAGTTCATTTTAATCTTTTTTACCAGCCCACTTTCCACCGAGCCTTCCTACGTCACCTCCACCTCATGATGACGTCACTGCCTACGTCAGAGTTGAGAAAGGTCGTGGAAGTCACCTTAACGGAAGTCGGGTCTTGTGGTGACCTTCACATTGACCACGGGAAAAAGAAAAAGAAGAAGAAAGAAATAATCGATGATAATGATGATGACGATGATAATGACTATGGTGATGATGGCGACAAAATATTTGATGATATCTTAAGAGGCTGGTCTATTTCTTGCTTCTTTATTCTTAATTTCTCTTATTCGTTTCTAAAAAAAATGAAATGAAATGAAAATGATTTGTGTGCTGGTGGCGTTAGTGAGGATGATAACAATATTAATAATAATTATAATAATAATTAATTAATAAATAAACTATAATAACAATAAATAATTACGATGTTGGTAATGAATGTCTGATGGCTTAGATAAAATAATAATAATAATAATGATAATGATAACAGTAAAGACTATAATTATAATAAATTAACATGATTAAAACGAAAGCTGTCACGTTGATATGATATGGCGGTTGATTAACATAATAATTTCACCGACAGAATTTGAAATGTTCTTATCTTTCGAACGCGCAACTCAACAACAACACCAACAGCTGCAAGAACTTTATGAACAACAACAACTACAGTCTTTACAGCTGCAAAAAAACAAGCAACTGCAACAACGGAAACAATCTTTTCAACATACAAAACACAAAACACAGCAAAAGGTCCCACATAAAAGTCATCAACAACAACATCAACAACATCAACAGCAACATCATCAACAACAACATCAACAGCAACAAAAACAACATAGGCAGCAACACCAACAACACAAATTCGATAAAGATCAATTGTCGTTGTTGAAGATGAACAAGGCGTACGCTTGTGAAGTCTTGAAAAAAATTTTTCCAGTTTTGCCGGTTTGTTTGTTGTTGTCACGTGATTTTTGTCACGTCATTGTTTTAATAATAATATTAATAATAATAATATTAATAATAATAATATCATTATTATTATAAATTTTTATTATTGCTCTCATGTTTTGCTCACTTCCACCAGCTGCAACTCCTTTCATCTGTCAGCAAGTGCCTTCAGCATCTTCCCAGGCCTATCATTGATGACGTCATCCGCATAGACAGCAGCAGCAGCAGTAGTAGTAGTAGTAGTAGTATTAGTGGTGGTAGAAGCAGTAGTAGTTACGGCAGTGAAGTAACGACTACTCTCCTGAGGTGCACAATGGTTAGATGTTACTTGATAAAAAATGGATTCTTCCACTTAGCAGACGTCAACAATGTAATTGAAGAGGTGTCCAAGTTGGTGGACTCTAGTGCCGTTACTTTGTTAGCGCTTTTTATTGGTTTGATTGTTGTTAGTGCATTTAGGACTTTAGGTGCTTGTAGTGTTGTTGGTTTTGTAGTAGTTGTGTGTGTTGTTTTTGTTGCTGATGTTGTTTGTGTTGTTGTTATTGATCAACGCAACGATTCAGCTGTTGTTACTTTTGTTAAAATTGTCCCACAGGCAAGATGACGTCATGTTGAAGCATCTGGCCTGTTTGATTGACATGTTCTCCCACACTTCTTATTCTCTGAGCAGCCAGTCAAAAATTCACTGGCTCAATGAATACGTGGCGTATTTGAGGCACTTTATTAAGAAGGTTGTGCCCTTTATATTTAAATATCACAAGAAGACAATTTTTTAATATTTCTGCCTACATTTATATTTTAAAATCGAATTTTAAAATTTTGTAATGCCAGATTGAATCTACTGATTCTAACATCAATGATCTTGTGGCACTTACTGCTGCTACTCCAACTACAACAACTACTACCACTAACTCATCCAACGCCGCTACCGCTACTACCTTATCTGTTACTGATTCTAATTCTAATGATCATACATTCTATGCATCTGATACGATTCAAACAATTACTACTACGACCCCTGCTACTACTTCCAATATTTCTGCTTCTGTTGCTACAACAGAAGCTACAGCAGCATCTTCAACAGTTTCTACGAGTACTACAGCCACAATTACAGCTACCCTTCCTTACCTACTCAACATCTTGCTGAGTTGCATCATCGTCTGGTCATCATATGATGATCGACTGCTGGTAGCTGCTGTGGCTCACACTCTGTCATCATCTTTCATCACAGATGATGAGGATGACGAAGACGATGATGAGGATGATGATGAGGATGATGATGAGAAGGAAGAGAATAAAACTGTGAGAAACATTGAGAAGAAAACAAAAATGAATGTTAATAGAGAAGATTTGAAAGATGTTGATAATGGTATACAATGATTATTATAACTATGATGATGATGGTTAAGTGGCGATTACGTGATGATTGAACACTCATTATATAATGATTTAGATGATTATGAGAGGATTATGTGGTGGTCATATGATGATTGTGTAATGAATGATGACATTGACGACGACGATGATAATTGTTTATAATGATGAGAATGTTTGACGATGACAACTGTGATGATACTACTACTACTACTACTAATAATAATAATAATAATTTAATAATTACACTTGATCCTCTTGATCCAGCTGACCAACACAGCAAACAGCGTAAAGAAAGAATGAATGTCCAGTTAAAAATAGTGAATGCCAAGCCAGATAAAGTTACTGTTGGAGGTTCGCTCTACCATCTCATTTACTCTACGGTGCCTCAGGGGTTCCTTTGTTTGGCCAACACCAAGGAATGGAAAAATGTGACTGATAAGGTTTTGGTGATGATGGTGATTGTGATAAAAATTATGATAATGAGAAATGATAAACTGTCTGATTGCTGAAAACCTAAACCTTATACAAATCGTCATATTTCTATGATTGATCTAATTAGTATACATAAATTTTAACCAACCAGATCATTAGTTTGTTCAAAGACGTTATCTTATTGGATGGGATTCGTGATAGACACGCCCAGCTAGTCAATACCCTTCAAAGTAAGTCGTGAATGTCCAATAACAATCGTATATAAATTTTTGGCTCATGTCTATCATTTTATCGCGGCTATTAGAATTAGTGGTTATTTGTTTATATTGCATCATAATCATAATTTTTATCATCATCATCATTATTAATATAATTAATATAATATATTATTGCTATCATCATTTTTAACTCAAGGTTGTCTCCATACTACCAGATGATGTCACGAAAATGATGATGATGAAGATGATGAAAATGAAGATGATGATGTCGAAGATGAAGAAGAGGGTAGAGATGAGGATGATGATGTAGTTTAATCCCATCTTCATGTCTATGGTTTTATGCGACGATTGTGAACATTTAGAAAAGCTTACATATACCATCATTCATTGGAAGTTGTATCAATGTACATTTTACATGCATGCAAAACGTTTAATTAACAATAATATTATTATTAATAATAACGACAATGATAATAATAGTAATAATAATAATAATAAATTTTTTTGTTCTGTTT